TCTTGGGTGCCCTGAGGGCTGCTGATCCCCTGGAGATCTGATGTCTGAGACCAGCTGTCAAGCTGAAGTGTAACAGACGTTGCCATATACGTCAGGCTGGTGTGCAGAGCAGAGGACGCTTCCTTTCTGTGCCAGTATGGGCATCCAAAGCTGGGATGACTGAACTCAGCCTGAAGGGTCAAGGGCAGGACATGAGCTTGTCTGAGGTGGTGATTTGAACCAAACAGGGGCTAAGGGCTCACCTTGATGCTTTTGGCACTCAGGAGAGAGAAGGGGCAACACCTTAGTCAAAAGCCAACTGAAGATGCCAAACAAAAGCTTGCTTAGGCTCCAGTGGTGAATTGCTTCATGGGAACGTGCTGTTCAGATGCTTTATTGAATTTTCAAGGAGCGGTTTTTCATTGGGGCTGAAATATGAGAGAGAACAGAGTGTTCCAAGTCACTAAAAATGAACAGAGCAACAGCTTTACAGGTTTGTGAGTGGCAAGAAAGGTTTATTTAATAATGGGGAAAAGGCCAGAACATAGCCCAGGGTATCAAGAAGGAATTAATCCAATTAACAAAATAAAACACGGGCTTAAGAAGAAATACTAATTGTAGCTGTCCAGCAGGTTGTGTGATACAGGTTATTTTTCTTAAGTTTCAAGAAGCTTGCAATATTGATCCCTAAAGGGCCTGAGATGTTAAATATACACTCCCCCAGTGAGTAAAACAGGTTGTTAATTAATATTGTCTTGTCAGACCTGGTTGCTGAGCCTTTGGGTCTTGCATGAAGTAGATGATTCTATAATCAATTTTGTATTGCCTCTGGCTATGTCTTCTCTAGGTGGTCTGTATTTCATTTTGTCCCTGTGCAGTAAATTTCTAGCCATAGGAACAGAAAGACTGAGCCTGTTCTTGTTTTAAAGCAAGTTGCAAATACTTCTACAATTAAAGACTTGTTATCCCATTGGGTGAAAGCTATAGCAGGCTGACACTGTAGGAGATGAATGAGGCGAGATGGGCGAGTTTGGGTTGAACATGGGAACCTCCCGGGTTGTGGCACCTTCTGTAAGTAGCAGGTGAGACCTCTGATGTGCTGGGGTTGTGTGGCTAATAATTGCTTTTTCTAATGTCAGTGGCGACTGCAGAAGCACTGGCTCTGAAGCAGACACAAAATGTTGTTTTGTCGTGGCTGGGACACCTGCCTAGCTCCGGTCATTTCTCTTCTGAGATGTGCTGGCTCTGCAGAACTCGTAAGTGTTTTCCGGCCCATCTGAGAGCAGAGGGTGGAAGGACATGTTGTCCGCTTCTGGACACAACATCTCACAGATTGCGTCAGAATAAACGACTAGGGCTTGGGCTGAAGAATCAGGACACTGTTTGTGAAGGGGGATCGGAAACAAGGGACTAAACAAATTCAGAGATTAAAAAATTCAAATTTAACATCGGACCATGAAACAAACAGCTAAAATAGAAGGATAAAAGCTCTGTTTTGTCAGAAAACAGTATGTGATGGGGTCATTAAACTTCAGATTCCAGCATCTTGCTTTTTCAGGATACATGCAGAGCTGTAGGCAATTCCAGCTTTGTCTTTGTGCTGAACAATTAGTATGTGGGGGCCTCCGCAGTGTAGGTTTGGTACTTCCCTCCATGTCCTGTTGGAAAATGAGTTTGAGATGAGCCATTGAAAGAGTCACATTAAACAAAATGCATCTGGGATTAATATGGATTCATAATCCTACTAAAGGAAGCTCTGAAATGGGAAAGAATATCCCAGTGATTTCACTTTGATCCTCTTCACTGAGGTGTATGTGGTATGAATATGAGGTGCAAGAGCAACAAAGCAGGACAACAAAGTAAATCCTCTCAGCCTTATGATGAACGTGACCAGTTCTCAGGCTGGCTCTGTTCAAAAAGCAGTTTCTTCAGTTCTTTTGACTTCATCTCAGACTAACTTGCGGGGGTGTTTATGGTGCGTTTATTTTACATAGCAGTAATTTTGGCCCAAGTATGTCACAGTAAGTTTTTAAATTTTTCTAAACTTGTCCTGACACTGGAGTTTGGTCATGAGTTTGACCTGCATGGAAATGTGTGAGCACATGAGGAAGCAGAGAGGTGTACGCTCCCTGCTCCATTGCTGGAGTATTACCCTGTCACCAACTCTGCCGCCGTGATGCTGAGGGACATGGGAGCTTGCACCCACTTCAGAGCCTTCAGGCACAGCCGTGCGTTGTTCCTCTGCCAGGCACACACACAGTCTTTCTCTTACGGGCCTGTTTTGCCCACCGCTTCTCTTGTTTGGTTGGGTTTTTTTCTCCTACCAACTTTTTCCTGTCTTTTTTTCCCCTTTCTTGCTCACACACGCACACAAAGCATTGTTTATTTTTCATCTTGCCCTTTCTGGTTTCTCTCCCTCTGGATTTTCTTTATTTCTATTTTATATTAATTCTAATCCCCTTCCCTGGAAGTCAGGCTCAGGAGGGAGTGTTAGTTTTGAGTATCACTGCTTTGAAGCAAACCTATTGGGATTTGTAATGGACAGTCAGATGCTAGCAGAGTGATCTAGGAGCGTATCACTGACATCCCTGAAATTCAAGAAAGTAGAAGCAATCTTTAGGAGGTCAGTGGAAAACCAGTTTTTGCTAAAGGAAGATGGACAATATAGAGACTTCTTGGGGTTTTTTGTTCTTTAGAAAAGATTAAATGGATGATCTTTATCATCTTAATAGCTAGATCACAAACTAATCTCTTCTGTTGATTTCTTCCACACAAAACACATAAAGAAGATTGCTGAAGGTGGAGAAAAAGCTAGGTTTTTGAAGCACATCCAAACCACCAAGAATCATTCACTTTCCTTTCAAATGCGGCATTAGCAATAGAGCTCTAAATCAATGAAAGGTCCAAAATGAGATTATATTCCTGAGATCAGATGTGAATCACAAGTTAATCATATTTTCTTTTATTATCACTGTCTTTACCCTTTTATTTTATCCTGAGAAATTAGGTTTCTGACTTGAAAACAGTGAACTGTGAAGGCATGAAACCCTGCTGGGTTAGACCACACCAGATCACCTGTGGATGGGGCTGCAAATATCTTTTGTTTTGGAGGTTCATGTTGCATCCGAAACTGAGCTCGACTGATTTATCAGTTAGTGGTGTGCATCCCTCTCTTCCCCAGCCCTCTGATGTTACAAGTAGCTGTTTTCTTAAATTAATGAGAAAATAGTACTACTAAAGCTTGCTAAATAAGGTTTAAAACCCACTCTGGAAATAACAGGGTAGGATGGCAAACAATTATCTCTTGACTGTGGCAGGAAGCTCAGGGAACTGTATTCTCCATTGCTATATTTTTAGCTGAAACTTGTGGTGAAAGTCACCCATGTCTGAAACCAGAGGTACAAGGTGACCTGCAAGTTTGGTGTGCAAGTGAGGCAGGTAAGCACGTAGATGATGTGTACCTGTTCATATGAAATAGCAGCTGTAGGGACTGCGTTTCTTTGCAAGTGGCACCAACTTTAGTCTCAGATTTGTGTGCCTGATACTCCAGGAACATGAATGTATACTTAAGAGATGACGTTGGCATTGTGCCTGTGTGTGTGTTTCTGGGAGAGGTGTTTCTTGATGGATGTGTTTCTGGCTGGTTGTAGTTGAAGAATGATGCTGACCTGAATCTGTGGATGCAACAAACACTATGGGCAATGCAGGCATAACGAATAAATGGTTTGTTTATAGGATAAAGATTTACGTGAACAAAAACAATGGCATTGCGGGAGAGGAAGCTGCAGAGACCCTTGCAGACAGTGTGCATACTTGGCGGAAAAGTCCTCAAAGATGTCACTGTCTGACATACCTCACACTACTCTCCCTGCTGATCGTGTTCCAGTATCTGTGCACTTGAAGGAAAGACTGGGTATGGCAACAGAGTGGTGAGCACCCACACCAGTAGCATAACCCCCTTATGAATGAAAGTTCGTGTCATCGCAGAGCAGCGTGTTGGTGCAGCACACTTTTGTGGCGAAGTGCGTGAGGGTGGGCAGCATGTGATGGCTCAAGTCTTGTTTTTGTGATCAGAGGGAGACAGGTGTATGTAAAAAGGCTCCTCCACCTTTCCTCTGTGCAGCCACTGCACTTGCCAAGGCGTAATTAGTGGGGCTCTCGTGTTTCAGGGCAGACTGTGGAGCAGCTGCTGAAGTGCCAGCTCAGTTGGTAGCCTCGAAAACAAAACGCCCCTTGTTTCTCATCACCACTGTGAAATACTGCCTTCCTGAGCCTTGGGTTTGGCCCTGCAGCTTTCAGGATAGACAAAATGTGAGATTTTTGCCAATGATGTATTCTTCTAAGTCTGTTTAATATCCGTTATCAATTTAATGTGCCACTTTAATGAGATTTTGCTTTTTCCATCTCCTCCGTAGAGCTGATTACTTAGCATATGTGGTTGGTGTTTGTTTTTTGTTGTGTTTTTTTTTTTTAAAGGAAACTACAAGTGAAGAAGTTGAATGTTTGCTTCAGCTGAAGAGAATATTTCCCAAGTCCTAGGGGGAAAAGGTGAAAAAGAGAACTGGAGGATGTTGCTAGTAGGTATGTACATGACAGGAAGCCATGACTAGCAGTATGACTGTCAACAGGAAACAAAAAGTCACAGACCATGTGACACTGCCATAAAACACACTTTCTGTGTTATGTTGCCTGCTGGACTTTGTGGCCTGGGAAGCAGTGTATGTCTACGTGAGATATTCTCTTCTCCATTCATCTGCTGGAGTTTGAACTATTCTGCATCTGGTTAATCCACTTTGCTGGAGTTGGCCAGTCCTGTTTGGTTTCTTCTTGACATCTGCTACTGTAAAGATCTTGAACAGCTATGGGGAGAAAAGGGTGTGTGTGAGCAACCTTCACCGGCTGGCAGCTGAGTGCTCTTCAGACCCCAGGCAGCTTTGAGGTGTCTCGGCTGTTCAGTGCTCTGCAGATATGAACGCTGAGCTTTTCTGGCACGTTCTCACGTTGGCCTGGTCGCTCTCACCATGCTAGTACATGGGAAAGAAGACTTCCTCTCAGACATAGCTTACATCATCCTGGAGCTGGTCATTGCGGTGCTGGCCATCCTGGGGAACATCCTGGTCTGCTGGGCAGTCTATTTGAATAGCAACTTGCAGAACGTCACCAACTATTTTGTTGTGTCCCTGGCTGCTGCCGACATTGCCGTAGGTGTGCTGGCAATCCCCTTTGCCATCACCATCAGCACTGGCTTCTGTGCCTTCTTCTATGGCTGCCTTTTCATTGCCTGCTTCGTCCTGGTCTTGACTCAGAGTTCGATCTTCAGCCTCCTTGCTATTGCCATTGACAGAATCATTGCGATCCGCATACCCCTCAGGTAAGCATGGGTTGGGCTTTGGGGATGGTGGGGCCTAGGTTGGTGAGGGATGAACATCAGTAAAACAGCAGATCTAGAGATGAATCGAGGAAGGAAAAGTTAAATGAGGAGCAGCACTTTTTCCCTTGTAATTTGAAAAATCCCACTTTACTAGTCTTGAAGGTTGCCTTGGCTGCTGGATTTTCTGGTCGCTGCTTCTTCCAGTTCTTCTCTGTCCTCATATGGTGTGTGCCCATGGCATCACAATGGCGCTGCCTGGGAGCTGCTGTTCCACATTTAGACAGGACTGTACGGTAACCTCAATAACCAGCACTCTGATCCGGAGCCAACTGCACCAGAAGGATCACTGTGGGAAAGTGGAGCTAAAGCAATACGTGGTGGAGGGCAGAAAGGGGGGAGGTCAACTTGTCCCCTTCCCAATGGGGAGAATGGAGGACTCTGCCTGCAGCTGTAGCAGCAGGGTTGAGGACAGTGTGGATGGTGGTTTTCTTTTAGGGGTCCACTGAATGTGAAAGGAGGAAAAGCAGCAGGTGATGAAGAAACAGGCCTTAGGAAGGTTTGGACTTGCTTAGGCACTGCCTCTGGAAGCAAAGCATGCCAAGTTCAAGGCAGAGGCTTGTCCCAACTCAGACCTGCAGAAGGTTATTCTGTGGTGTCTACGCTAGAGTTTAAAGGAAGAAGATGACATTTCAATATTAGAGCTTGAAAGCTGAATATGACTAGCTGCTACTTTGCGTGCAACCAGGGAGGTTGATGTGGGACAAGGGGAAGTTTTGCCACACGCACAGGGGCTGCTACTCAGTTCAGTCTCCCCAAAGCACATTGTTGTGACGGGATATATCTGACCATGGGCGCAGAGCAGCATTGCTTTTTGTAGGCTGTGTTTGAATGCTTTGTGACAATGCTTCCGAGTCGTTCAGTAAGCTCGGAAGATGTAGAGGAAGCCCTGGGAGAGGCCGGTGCAGGCAGAGTGTAGGAGTCTCCTTCCTTCCCATCTTGTCCTTAGGAGGATGCAGCATGCTCTCAGTCTGCTGAACAAGAAATGTAGCTGCAAAAACGGAACAAATTTCTGATTGCTGTGCTCCGAAGTTTGAGGTTTTGGACATTGTTGCTCCCGTTGAGCTTAAATCACTTGTGTTGACTTGCACAGTTTAATTTTGTCTCTTGTGAATACTTTGGTCACCCAGCACTTATGTTGATTAACATAAACCTCTCATTCAAAAATAGAAAGTATTCTTTTCCCTAGAGCTGCGGAGATTACCTTTCCATGTGGACCGGTACAGCATAGTCTTTCCTGAAGCCTCGCCACAGCAAGCTTGTGCTGCTGTAACATTACCATCAATTGTTGGTTTCCAAACCTATAGTCGTACCTCTACTTTTGATGTAGTTGTAAGGAATAACTATTCCATTCCATTGCAGAGAAAACTCTGTTGATATTAGTTACCTATAAATTGGACTGTCTCCACTTTTCTACAGTTCTACATATAGATGGTCCCAGTTTATAAACCAAAATAATGATAAATGGTACAAAGAAACATAGGTAGACTAGCCCTTGACTCTGAAACGATTTTTGAGAAGGGCTAATGTCTTTAATTCATTTCTCATGAGCTAACTCTGAAGGCTTTTGCTGACAGTTTAAGCACTCTTATTGCTGGAGGATGACTTGCCAGGAAAAGGATTTTAAAAGTCTGGATTTCTGCCCACTTTGGGGGGTATCATTGTAACTATATTGTCTTGAAAATTTAATTTCCTGGAATAACCAAGGTAAAGAGTCCTTTAGAAAAATGAGACTTCATCAGTGCTGGACATTGTACTGGTTTCACTATTTTGTTTTTGAAAAAACAGAACACACCCTCTTCCGCCCCCAGAACAGTGGAGTTGATTGGATGCAGAAACTCTCAGGTAGATCCATGGGTTCATCCCCCTCCTTGTCCTCTGCTGGTTTGTCCTTTTACAGTAGGACCAAAGAACTTGTCAATTGTGTTTCCCCTTAAGAATTTATGGATGAATAAGCATTAGATTTATGGCCTCAGACATGCTGAGAAAGTGAAAGCTGATTAGCTGAAGAGGGAAATGTGATACGATTCAGACTGCTCACATCGTCATATTTTTCTAATATCTGGTTGTCTCAAAAACATGTCAAACCATTGGAAGGAAAGTTCTGCCACTAATGATGCAACATTTGCACCTTTAATGCCTGGGAAAGCTTCTTCTCTCCTCCTCAGAGGACAAGAAAGGTAACACCAGACATTCCTAATATTCATTAGATGAATGCTCTTAAAAAAAAAAAAAAAAAAACCCCAACCAAAAAGAAATCAGACTTCCTTCACTGAAGTGAAACCGAAAAAAGCCAAAGTTATTTTTTCTTCTTTTTTTTCAGTGTTTCATGTGTTATTTGTCCTAAGGAAGGTAACCACATGTCTCAATGGATACATACGTGGATGTGTATTCCCACACAAATAAACTGTGGGTATTAAGGAGGCAGAAGAGTGGGATTTCTCATACTGCTTGGTTTTGGACACCTCGGTACATAATTAGAGTTATCTTTGGAGTGATTTTTCTGTGGATAAAAGACCCTGCCCCAAAAAATTGCAGTGAGGAAAGACATCTATAGGTAAAATCTAAAAATACATAAAACACAATTTCTGAACATCTTATGGGTTCTACCTTTCAAATGATTAAAACATTGTGTAGAATTTGATAAACTTTCCAAAAGTTTTCAAACACTTTGCTTACTTCTGCCAGGTTTTATACAAATGTAACACACTGCAAGTGGCAATGAAGCACTCCCAAGGAAGTGAGTCCGAACAATAGTTTGGTCTAGGATAAAATGCGAACTGTGTCTGTACGTGGCAGGTACCTGAAAACCTGTGCTCGCTGATATAAAACCCCTGGGTGTTCTAAACAAAACTGGCTGTGAGTCTGAGCTCCAGGATGAAGTCATGGGCCAAGAACAATTGCTGCTTTCCAGGCTCTTTGGTGCCAGCAAACGCTCCATGGGCACAGTGCCCAGCCACGTGTTCTTCTGCAGGCACTTGTGGTAAAGATACTCCCATGGTGAAGGACAGGTAGCTCTGATGCACTGGAAAGAGAGGATAATTTTTTCTTCCTGCAGCCAAATGGAAAAGTTTTCTCAGGTTACTGTTTGCTCTGTGTGCTGGATGCAGGTATTCACGGGTGGCATGAATACTTATGCAGGTCAGTGTCACCTGCAGTAACTTGCTGAAGTGCAGACCTTTTCCTCTGGTGAAAGTTGCTTTGGAGAGGATTGACTGTCTAAGCTACTGGGATGCTTCTCTGGGAAAGCTCCCTGTCACTTGGAACACTGGGACAGATTTATCCCATGTAGTGGTGATTGAAACTGCAGCTCTGAGGTGGCATTGGGATGCTAGAGGAGCTGGACTTCGGCTTCAAAGTCCAGGGTAGGAAGAATAGGGGAGATGAACACAAACCCTGACTGAAGTATAGGACATGGAAGGGATCTTTGTACTGAGAGCAGTCCTTTTCAGCAGTTTCTTTAATTGTCTAAGGCTGCCTTCTCGAATGAGCATCTGAATTAGTGAATCAGGGATTTAATGTTTTATTGTCACGTTGAGCCATATCCAGACTTACTTCTTTCCTTGCTCACCATAAAATTTTTGACTTTATGGCAAGCATTTCCTACATGCGCTCATGTTTGCGTCAAATAGATTATGGGCAGATTCAGCCTAATATAAAAGAAGAATAATTCACTTCCTCCTTCGAACAACCACAGGCATGGCTTTGAAAGCAGTGCTAGCTCCATAGGCCACAGTGGAACTTGCTGTTACCGAGGTTTTAGTCTGGAAGCTGATCGTGCCACAAGTAAAACAACAGTGGCTGTTCACTGTCATTGCTTCTGCTGTTCAGAGCCCTGTGCCCATCTGTGGGATCCCACCTACCCTGTCTCCATAGCATAGTCAAGCACTGGTACCAGTTACCACCTGGTAACAGGGGAGAAAGTTTCTTGACTGAGAGTTCTAGGAAAGCGTTGTTTAGGTGGTACATGAGGTCTGGGTTTGGTTTCTTGCTCCGCCACAAGATTTCCTGGATGATCTGGGATTGTCAGTGTTTCTCATTTCCAGATACATGTAATAGGGATAGAATATCCTCCTTTTGTCTTGCCTCCTGTGACTGCAGCTGCCTGAGGTGCGGGCTGTTGCAGGGATGTGTTCTGTAGTGATTTGTTAAAAAAACATCGAGCACTGCTGGAATTCAGATCAAAGCCCAGTGCCCTCAACGCTGAGCACAGGCTTTCTGGTGGGATGCAGTAAAGATGACAGAAATGTGCTCCGTGCATGGCAGAGCCATCTGGCCAAGGTGTGCAGTGCTGTCAACGAGGTGGGTTTGGAAGACAAGCAGCAGGCTGGTTGGGTGCTGTGACGATGAGTTAGGTCAGCTACGTATCATGCAGTGTATGGAAAGATTTTAACTGCTACCCGAGGACCCTGTGGTTCTTATACCAGCACTGTCTTCCACCCAGCTTCATAGTTTACACATCAGACTGGTGAGGTCCTACACTTTCTGTAGGAATCATTGTCTCAGTGACACAGAGCTTAGGCCAAGGACCCAGAAGTGTCACATCCTCAGCCAAGTTACTCTAGGCAGCACAGATGAGCTGTACATTCACCAAGGGCAGCTCCTCTCCTGGAGTCAGTTTCCCAGCCTGATAGTTGGTAGAACAGCAGGGCAGGTGAAGTTATTTTGGGGAAAACATCTACATTTTCATCTATTTGCAAAAAGCGGGTTTTGTTTTCTAGAGGAGCCAGGTGACCCTATCCCCACACCCAACTCCACCGTGAGTGTCCCTGTGTTCTTCACTAAAGTTCTTTGTGTCTGGAGTTTCATGAGTAGAAGTTGTTGTTTGTGTAGCAAGTCCAGTATTTCCAGGAAGCATGAGAATTGCTTGTGCACAGACAATCCAGTGCTGTCTGGACATATCGGACATGCTACAAAGTCACCTGCCAACTACGCAGAACACGGGCTGTAGGTGTGACCAGCTCCTTTCAGCAGGCTGTGTCTCCTGCATAGGTGCCAGCAACTCACAGTGTATGTGATGCTTCCTCGAAGCCCTGAACTTGCCATGTAGAGCTGTACAGCACTGGGTATACAGAGAGTAGCTAGAAATTAAGCTCTTCCAAGTGAATGGATACTTCTCAATGGGTACTTGGCCAACATAGTGCCACACAGTATGTGACAAGATGCTGTGAGCTTTTTCTCTTAACCATTGAAGGTAGAGCAAGGTGTTACGGAAATGCGCTGAGAGATTGATAATTGCCACTGCCAGCACAATACACTGCAGCTGGAAAGCAGGAGGCTGCTTGGGTTAAGTGCTGTTCCTAAGCCTTGTGAAGTTTGTTGCATGGGAATCTCCAGAGGGTAAGAGGGAGGGAGAAGTGGGGGGGGGGGTGTTTGCCTGGAGCAGTAATGAATATATTTTTAGTGGAAAGGAAGAGACATCTCTAGTCGTGGGATAACAGCTGCACAATTTCAAAATTCCTCTGACAAGATGTAGCCAATTCCAGGGCTGCAGGGCTTTGAGGGTGCGTTTTGTTTTGTTTTTTGTTTTTCCAAGCTTCAAGCGCCTTCAGCCAATCTCTTGCTCCCTGAGTGTATTTTTCAAAGCACAGATGCTGTTTTGCTGTGTCGATGAGGTCTGAATGTGAGCAGCTCCCTGCTACCATCCATGCTGTGCCCTTAGTATCCCCTAAGCATTAAGCAGGTTCCACTGCTTGCTGGGGAAACTTTTTAATCTCTCAGAATCAGCTGAATCCCTCCCGCATTTCTGGAAGGAGGATTTCGGTGTATTTTGGGTACTGGGAATTGTGTGGTTAGCTCCCTCACCCACTCCCTCTTTTCTGATTTTGAAATGCAGCTGAGGAAGGAAACTCAAGCCTACTGAGTTTTGTGTAGAGCCAGTTTTTTTCCAAGGCTCATTAGCAGGGATTTAAAGCCGGTGTAGGATCTCCATTCTGTACTGTGCCCAGCAAAAGCAGCTCCTCCCTTCTCTTGAACTTATACTGGGATAGGAGCATGAACCTCTGCAAGCAACTATTTCATTGAGATGGAAAGATTTCTATGGCTTGTTGGATTTTATTTTATTTTTTTAATGTTTGTTTGCTGAGAGAATTCTGGGGACAGAGGGAGAAGGAGCATTGGGTAAACACTGGGAGCCCAGTGCTACCGTTGTCCGATCGCAGACACATGGGGTCAAGTACAGTGTGGGACCCACGCTGGACAGTGTGGGAATCCGGCCATCTACTTTCCATGCTAAGCATTACCGAGGGAAGGAAATTGCCTTGAAATGTTAAACTGTTGCCCTGATTTACAATTTCAGAGAGAAGAACTGGTGGAGTCAGCTCAGGACTCGCAGTAACCTGTGAGGCCTTGGGAACTGGCCGGTATTTCAAACAAGCCAAGGTCCCTGGCTGTACTGTCAGGTTCTTACCATGTTGCTCACCATCTCTTTCAACGTGTCTTGGAGAATTTACTGCTAAGAGCACTGGCTTCAGCCAGCCATATCAATACCTCCACCATTGAAGTCCCCTTTGGTGTGTGCAGTGCAGAGACAGTCAGAGCACTGTCCTCCTTTCTGAGAAAGACATGAGGTCAGCTTAGCCGGGCTGGTGCTGACTTGTCTCAGTTCTTTAAGGAAGGTTGGTGGTGCTGGCCTTCTTGAAAGTGTTGTTGTGGAGCAGAGTGAGGTGCTGTGCAAGCGAATGCCAGCCTGGCTTCTGCAACTCAGTCAGCAGAATTTCTCTGGAGCACACCTGAACATGGACATGGGGCCGATGGCACTGTGCTTCCTAGTTCTTTTGTGCTATTTGGGTTACAGATCTACTGGAAGACAAACCTAGCAATTCCATGCTATGAGGCTGCTCCTTTGTCATAAAGGAGGAACTACCTCAGCCTTCAGCAAGAGCACCATGGTGGTCTTCATCACCAGGGGTCAGAGCAGTGCTGTTGATTATCCAGGCCACGAGATCTATATGCATGACCAAGTGGGCTGGTGGAGTGAAGGAACACAGATGGAAACTGTATTAATTTCAGTGCTTTTCTGTCACCTATTCCCTGCCTAAAGGAAAGAGGAGGGAAATAGATGGCGTACAATGTCACCATGGAGTCCTTGCTGTGCTGTGCTGTGTGGGTTCTGCACAGCAATTCAAAGGCCCATCTGAAGAAGCAGTTGCCTTTCTTGCTGTCTTCTGGGCCATTGGGAAGTCGCTTGGGTGTCAGGGGCTTGTTGAACAATACTGATGTAATTCCCATTTCTTCTGCTTTATAGGTACAATGGCTTGGTGACTGGCTCTCGAGCTAAAGGTATCATTGCCATCTGCTGGGTTTTATCTTTCATTATCGGCTTGACACCAATGCTAGGGTGGCACAATCGCTCCCAGATTGAAGAGCGGGGTTCCAATAAGTCCTCTCCCATCAACTGCAGCAACAGTATGGTGGCATGTCTCTTTGAGGCTGTGGTCACCATGGAGTACATGGTCTACTACAACTTCTTTGCCTGTGTGCTCTTGCCCCTCCTCCTCATGTTTGGTATCTACTTGAAGATCTTCATGGCAGCCCGGCGACAGCTCAAGCAGATGGAGAACAAGATGGTACATGGGGAACGTTCTCGCTCCACTTTGCAGAAGGAAGTCCACGCAGCTAAGTCTTTAGCCATCATTGTTGGGTTGTTTGCAGTCTGCTGGCTTCCACTACATATTATCAACTGCTTTACCCTTTTTTGTCCAAATTGTGCCCATGCTCCCCTCTGGCTGATGTATCTGGCTATTATCCTGTCTCATGCTAACTCGGTTGTAAATCCTCTAATTTATGCCTACCGAATCAGGGAGTTCCGACACACCTTCCGTAAAATCATCAGCCAGCATATCCTGGGCCGGAAGGAGCCGTTCAAGGCAGGAACAGCCAGCTCTAGGACTTCCACTCATGGTGGGGACGCAGAGAATGCCAGCATACGAATCAGTGAGTATGCATTAGAGGTATATACCAATGGAGAGATCCACAGGGATCCTGAAAAGCAGGACTTAAACAAATGCAAAGCTGGCTTGGAATGGCACCACAATGGAAATGCTCTGGACATGGAGACAAATGGGCATCTCCCACATTCCTGCAAAAATGGGATTCTCTCAGATGCGTGCATGAACAGGGAGCTAATCAATGCCCAGGTGTCTTACTCAGATCTAGAAAGAGCAGCCCTCGCAGCAGCTGATGTTTCCTGATGAGACTTTCAAAGTCTTCCTGGTAGAATTATTTTTTTTCCATTGGTGACCTCTGCCATGGCAGAAAGGGAGGTTGGGGGGCGGGGGGAGAGGTGTGTATTCAGATTGCTGTGGAGAAAGGAGTCCCTACCCAAGACTGTTGGGAAGATCCTAAATACTAGACTGGAATAAAGCCAAGAGACCACTGAAATGGACTGAGGAAGGAGGGACACGTTACCCCGTCAATGACCTGTCACCAAGAGCTGTGCCAAGGTCACAGATGGCATTCCAAGTTCAGCACTGGGAGACTCTGCTGATGCAGGGCATATCATGACATCATGCTCTACTGTATATCTGTGGTTGTATGTCGGTTTTGCTGTCTTTACCAACAGAAATAAAAGCATGGCTGGAAGTATTCACTGAATTGCAAAGAGCAACAAGGAGAGGCCTTGTAGTACTTTGGCCCTGCAACAAATGGAAGGGGGACAGCAACATCTATTGGTCAGGAAGGATGCCAGCAGCTGCTTGGAAAGGGAAGGAATTTTACCTGATGGGAACTCTGGATACCTTCAACCATGGCATTTTGTCTTTCAGTTCATGTTTTTAAAGCTTATACTGCAACAGGTTGCTCAAATGTGGTTTGGTTTTTTTTGTTGTCTTGATAGGATTACTTTATATTAAGTTATAAAAGATGGGCAAAAACTCACATCCATTCCCTGAGCGCTCAATGTTCCAGATGCACAAGGCAAATATAACCTCATAGATCTCCACTTTGTCTAACAAATAATGAAAATGGAGACTGCAATTTCAGTTTCCCTTAGCCAAAGGGCTGTTAGCAGGACTTGGTGCTGCAGATAGCAGACAAGCAGGCCAGGTTGTGGTCTGTGTCACCAAGGCAGTTGCACCCCGAGGTGTTGTGAAGAGCTGTCGGGTGTGTGAGCTGTCTGCAGGCTGGTGGGCACTGTCTGCTTTTTCTCCCGTCTCTGTGCTTGTCCTCCTGGACTCCTAGAATGCAAATTCTTTCCATGGCCCAAAATGTGTGTGTGAGGAGATATTTTTCCATATGTTCATCATTTTCACCCTCACGCAAAAGGCTGTGGGATTTTTTTTCTTCTTTCTCGGGGTAGGGAGAAACACGCACACATATACCTAACACTGATTTTTGAAATTCCAATGAGGTCTATTTAAACACCTTTTCTCCTGTGATTTCAGTTTTTTCCTGATGTGCTTTACTGTGAAGCCTGATGTATCCCTGTGGTGCAGAGGCCAACAGAGCTGGGTCTCTCTGGTTAGAAGATGCTCCTACTCTGAGAAGCCAAAAGGCGTCAGTAATAGTGGAAAACAGCTCAGGAACTGCAGTAGTCTGCCTGTGTAAGAGAACAGGCAAATCTGTGCTGCAGCAAGGGTATGTGCACTGATGTCGTTTGTGGCAGAGGTGTTTCACAGCAGTTTGACAATTTCTTGTGTCACTTATGAAGCCTGGTAGCTCAAGGACAGCAGAATGTCACATTGGCTTGAATTCTACCTAAAGATTGTCTGGTCTTTGTTTTCCAGACAAATAATCCATGTCCAGTACCACCAGCCTTCTGCAGAGACAGGCAGTAATGGTCCTACTGGAAAACTAAGTGTCATAATTCTAATGATCTGAAGCTTTTTCCCTAGCTGAAAACATCAGAAGTATTGTCCCCCAACCCTGGCTCCTCCTTGTGTCTGTCGACTAACATTTCAGAAGCCAAATAATCTAATTTTCAGAAAGGAAAGGGGAACTGGATTTTGATATTTGAGGAAGAGCAGGTTAGGTTGGTTTGTTCTTATTCCATGTTTATTTTAAATATTGTTAACTATTAAAATGAAAAGTCAGTTTTATTTGAGGAGAATTTTCTTTTCACCAGTCTCCCTACATGAAGGTGGGGAGTAGATTGTAATGCTGAACGTGTTCAAGTATGTAACTGCTCCAGGCTAGCACAAAGCTTACTGTGAGAAGGATAAAAAGATGTGGTGCCACCACATCTGCAGAAAGACAGGCGAGCTTGTAGAACAATAGACTTCACAGTTTAATTGAATTGCTGCTTTCTTGGCATGGCTCTTCCAGAGTCTAACGTCAGAGGAGCGGATTATCACTCTGGTGCCATTAACAAACACTAAGCCATTTCCCTGTGACTGACGTCGTAGGTAGTTCCTCTGTAGGGTGACTTGGGATCTTGTTACTCTTGATCTTTCTTAATGGAATATTTCTGCAGGTTATTTGCAGGATGGCTTCTCTGACCTCCTGTAACAGTGGCAGAGGAACTCAGTCAGGAAAATGGGGGTCTGATCTCTTCAGGCCTCAGATGGGAGCTGAAATGTTTCTAAGAATAACACAAGATTACATCCGGTATTCATGTCAATAACAATTAGGTCCACAAAGAAACAGAGCGGGGAAGGAAGTGTGGGAAAATACCAGCATTGCTCATGTGCTGGAACACACGCAAGTGCAGAAGTGTCTCCTATTGAGCTTTAGTTGCCATTGTAAAGGGATGTTTTATGCCACATTGCATCAGACTTTCAACAGCTCGTGTGGGTTGGTTGCTTTCTATTGTTTCCCAAGCTTCTTCACACTCAGTTATGGCAGCTTCTTGCTTGGTTGCCACAAGAATCAAGTTGATCTATGTTGATGCTACAAATTTAGGATTTTCACTCTGCAAAACTTTCCTGCCCACCCAGATCACTATGCAAGCTTACTGAGTTTCCAGATGTCTCGCAATTAGCTTTTCTGTTGCTGTTTGAGATGCCCCCCAAGTGTGTCCAGTCCCTTTCAGTATTAGTGATCCAGATTTGAAATGAAGAGGGTGTGTGAAGGGGCCAGGGGATGCATGCAGGAGGAAGTGCAGTGGGGGTAAGGAGGCAGTGTGTTTTATATAGAATTGGAAGTCTGTAGTCACAGGAAGGAAGGGATGGCAATTGCACCACATGCTGTGTGCCTTCTGGCAAACATATGTCTGAGATGGACTTTCAGAAGATGTTTCCCAAGCAGTTGTTGGGGGAAGCATGAGCCTTTTGAACAGAATTTTGGACTTCTTATTTCTTGTTTCCTAGGGATCTTGATTTCAAGGCTTTCTTTTTTTAAAACGAACAAAAGAAGCTTTAGGGTCCCATCAATGAAGTGTGCTCTTTTCTTCTCCTGGCAGTGCCCTCCACTCTTGAGAAAAGTACCTCTCTTCCAAATTGCAGGGATCATTAGAAAAGTGAAAGTTAAATAAATTTGTCCTAATCTCTCTACTCATATCCCCATTTTCATTCCAGCTGGAGAATGCTTAGCTGTTGAAATATAGCTGTTCTGGATAAACAAAGATGGTACCAAGACAAAGGGAAGAATGAGGTGATAATCAGGAGAGGCTTCAGAAGACCTTCTTGGGAATCCAAGGTGCAGTGGGTCCAAAGAGTAAGAGCTGGGGTAAGAAGAGACTAATTCATGGAACTGGAACATCTTACTAAAAATGGCTCAAGACCCATAGAGAGATGTGGTGCCTCATTTGGCATGAGGGCATTCCATGAATTTCACCATTCCCTGGAGACTCTTAGGCTCCAGGGTTTATTTGCTTTATAGGGTTTTGGAGAAAGTTAAGTTTGATCAGTTGCCAGGAGTAATTTTATCAAGAGTTCTTCTTGGGGCCCTCTCCTCAATAGGGCACTGCTTTTTGTGTGTGCAAATAAATGTACTCACAGCTTTGTCCTGCAGAGTTTCTTTTGGATCAGTCATATTTCAAAGCTCTGAGCAAGCTTGAACCGCAGCTCTTGAACAGAGGAGTAATTTGGCATGGTGGAACAGCTGAGGCTACTGTAGACAGAAAGGGTTTGCCACTGATCCCAGTTGGTGCTAGGAAGCTTATTGTGCAAACGGACTTGTGAATTATATGGAGTAGTCTGAATCTTTGATCATTCTCTGAAAAGAGCCTCCAGGGTATGCTGGTGGATATAGAAAAGTCTCTAAGGTGTGGTAGCAGACTGGAGGGTTAGGGTTAGGTGGGAAATCTTGGTGGCGAAGGAAGATTTGTAGGGTAGGTGTTTGGGGGGATTTCAGAGGGAGCAAGAATGTGCTGGGAGGTGCTGGGGATTGCACAGATGGTGCTGGCATGAGACCAAGGTGTGACTTGCTGTGGAAGGACTCTGGAAAGGATGTACATCTTACGGCTCTCCCGGGGTCACTGCAGAGGGGCAACCTTGCCTCACGTTTGCAGAGTGTTGACTTTGTATGGTCTACATGTGACTGAGGTAGAGATGGTTCTTATGGATTATATCCTTTTCAGATGCATTGTCTCATTTCATGAGCGTGTCCAGGTATAACAAAAGCATTTCTGCTTCATGTGCATGAGCCCTACCTAAAACCAAACCAATCCACCCATGTTCTGTGGGAAGGATGAGCATGCTATAACAGTGCTGCGATGCATTTAAACTGTAGAATACTCACTAGTGGTGTTTGCTAACTTTAGCTGCCTAATAGTCAGTTCTCTCCCAATTTCTTTTGGGCATCAAACTGCACTGAGTCATACCAGAGAGTTTTTTTCTTTCTAGCCCTGCACTTTTGGCCTTTGTTACAGTAAACCACATCAAGAGTAAGTAAAATCACACCAGTTTCTCATATGCATGAGAGGTGACTAACCCTGACAGACTGAGAATCCCCAAACTGGGGCAGTGTTGTGTGTAACTCCCTGTCTCATTTGTCTGTTGGAACTGTTCATACAAGGATGTGTTGAAATGAAGACTGGAACCTGTTGATCTGAAAACATCCTTTGCATCCCCCGCTCTGCCTCAGGAGCTGGTGTTCCTGCCTCCTGTCCTGTGGAGTGGTTGTCCCTGTGGTCTGCAAGCCAAGACAGTATGAACACCCTGCTGCACACGCTGTCACTATAAAACAATTACTCTTTTAATTTAAGTGTTTTATGAATATAGTTGTTGTTTTCCCTCTGTCTGTCAGTTACCAGTGGGAGGGGAGGGAAGGGGGTGGGAGAATCTGTGCATGCAAATGTATTTAAAGTGCATTG